TCCAACCCCTAGCCTTATCGCTATAGCGGCTGTCTCGGCTATAAGAAGTTATGCTAAAGACATCATAAGGGCGCCAGTTTAATGGTACCACCACTTAAGGAGAGGACCAAAGTGTTTACTCTTAAAATATGCTTCCATTTCCTCCAAGTAAACAAAAGAATATTAATGGATTTTGTATAATTGTATAAATATGTTAACTATTGTCTGATTATACAGTAATTATGATAACAATATTATATTTAAGCATCCTGTTGCACTCCATACGATAAATGATGTAAACTCCGTCTCAAGTGCAAACATTATATTCTGTGTCTTTGATCTTGCTCCCCACACTACATGTTTCGGCCTCAGACGGCCATCATCAGGTGTATAACACTCACGTCGCTGTCACACTGCACCCAGTTCAAAATTTAACATCTAAAACACTCTCCCTGTCATTATCAACTTCTACTTCGTTGATAGCTGTCCACCCGTAGATTACTTCACACACATTAATTTTGACTTTATTGTAATAGCACCATAATAAAATCTTTAGTTCTAATTTTAAACCTTTAAATTCTTGTCCAAATTTTAAAATTTTAAAATTGTAAAATTGTAAAATTGTTAGGGTTATTCGTCCTGTGTGAGCACACGTAGTAAAGAATAGCAGCGGCACGCACACAGAAAGACTACACAGGATAACACCTATACAGTGTGGAAACAAGAACTAGCCGCTGCAGCACTTCAAACACAGGGCGAATAACCCTAACAATTTTAAAATTTTAAAATTTGGACAAGAATTTAAAGGTTTAAAATTAGAACTAAAGATTTTATTATGGTGCTATTACAATAAAGTCAAAATTAATGTGTGTGAAGTAATCTACGGGTGGACAGCTATCAACGAAGTAGAAGTTGATAATGACAGGGAGAGTGTTTTAGATGTTAAATTTTGAACTGGGTGCAGTGTGACAGCGACGTGAGTGTTATACACCTGATGATGGCCGTCTGAGGCCGAAACATGTAGTGTGGGGAGCAAGATCAAAGACACAGAATATATTGTTTGCACTTGAGACGGAGTTTACATCATTTATCGTAATTATGATAATGTTACAATTATTCTGAGAAGCAGTTGGTAACTGGATATGTTTCCAAGTATGCAAAATATTTAATCAGATTTGTGTTGGTAGTATACAGAAAAGGAACTCTACATGTGGGAAGTGTGTTTGATCGAAATTGTGCTACATATAGGGCAATTCTGCTAACATCTTTCACCAGCTTCAATGATTTTACTGAATCGATTTAATTTTCGATTTGTGTTTGAAATTCTACTCCTGTTTTTACCGTGTAAACTGTTCATTTTTTCCTCCTCTTCACTCCCACTTTGGAGCATGGGGCTGATTTCTCAGTTTCATTGATCATATTTTTACGGACGGTAGGACTCCTTGGACGAGTGACTGGCCAGTCGCAAGGCCTCTACCTAAACACAGGGCAACACAAACACAGAATAAACGCATACACACATCAAACGTCCATGCCTTGTGTGGGATTTGAACCCACGATCCCGGCTTCCGAACGAGCGAAGACAGTACATGCCTTAGACCGCTAGGCTACCGTGACCGGCGTTCATTTTACAAAATAACTATTTTTACACCCTGAGGGCTAAGGAATAAAAAATAAAAGTAAATTGTTCAAATTATAGCTCCTTACTAAATGTTAATATGTACTCCGTTAAAATATAATTTGATATAAGAACTTAAATACTTTTTGAGATTATCTGAGTAAACACGTAAATTATTTGGCAATAGTCATTAGCATACCATTTACAGTTTCATCTGTAAAAGGATCCCGTTAATTGTACAATATACCATTCAGTTCTTACCGTCTCTGCTTCCAATTGTTCCTCTAATAAGATTTCAGACGGTGAAGACATTAATTCTTATTAAGAAACGAAAGTACTTTGATCGAGGTCAGAGTTCTCAGTCTGTTGGTTCCATATCCTATAATCGAGTTACTGTCTCTTCTGTGGCTTTCCGTTTGTGGAAGCCAATTTCCATAATCATATGAACACTGTACGCCTGCATGTAGGCAGTTCCACTACCCTAAGTTCGTTTTACAAGTAGTAAACTAATTTTCAATTTCTTTCTTCGTGCTCTGCATCTGGAAGCAACAGCGAAATATAGAATTTTATGTGGATCCCTCACTGTACCGTGCTGTAATTAAATAGACCATAACTATTTGCTGTAAAAATATCTTCTACAGTTTTAATTCTGTTTAGAACAATTTCACGGAACTGCCTTTAAGAACTCTGATGTTGCCCTTTCAACGCACTTCGACACGCGGCCACTGTGATGTTCGTAATTACGAAGGTCACCTTAATTCTTAAGAGTGCTCAGAATTTTGCTTGTAGCTATTAGCAGGATATCTAACCAACCAAGGTCTTCTTGATCAGCTTATGATTATTCAGCTGGGCGAGGAATACCTTCCTTTTAATGGAACCCAGAAGTTCATCAGCATGTTCTCTAAATCCTACCAGTATATCATATTCCACTCCATTTGTCCCCAGGCCTTACCTAAGCTTAGATATCCCAGCTCGCATCTCCCCCATGAAATTTCCGATCATAATTTTGTACGCAGTTCTGGTTTTCTCCCTGCGTGTTGCATATCCCGCCCATCTTACGCATCTTGCTTTAATCGAAATGAAAATGTACAGTGAATAGTTTTCTCCAGTAACTTTTTCTTTCATCTCTCTCCTAATGTAAAAATAATGAACAGTTGCATTCGCAAGCAGAATATGGCGCAGTGCGTCTGTCCCAACGTCCTGTGTTCCTTTCCTTGCCACGAATAAGAGAGACCGGAGAAATTATTTAGACCCATGAAATATGGCGAAAGTAAAAATTTCTATGTAAAAGGTAAATGTAAATGTAAAGTTGTCCCTGTGCTTAATTAATTTAATACAACGCAATGAAAATATATGGGGGAGTAGAGTTATAACTCCACTATTCTTCATTTCGGTACTAGATTGAGATGAGCGACCAGCTTCACGCCCCGGCGGCTTTACCCCCGGAGAAAGAGCCCTCGATACCCACTGGATAGGAGGCTGGGTAGGCCCCAGAACGGTTCTGGATGCTGTCGAGGAAAGAAAAATCTCTTGCATCTACCGGGAACCGAAACCCAGTCATCCAGCCCGTAATTACACGGACTGAGCTATACGTATGCTTAACAAAGTGCCATCTTGACAGGATGTAGGTTTAATCTTTTAAGTTCTTAATATATGTATCAGATGAAGGTGATTGCTCAGCTCAGTTCCATGCTTCGGTCGCTCTTATCCTCGAATGCAGACCGTCTCACAAAAACCACTGGTTAGGTGGTAAGGGAAGAAAAATAAAATAATCGGTTAATATTCGATAATTTTTTATATGCAGAAGGGTCCAAGAAATGTATACACTATTCAACATGCAAATATTTGCTTAAATAATTTATTAAAAACCAGACTTCATCCACATAGAAAGGTATGACTGCGACGCTTGTTGAACTAGAACAAATATTCAAAGTTCCCACCATTAGCGTGTATACACTCCCGAGTTCGGCCGACAAGTGCACGAGCAACAATGGCGAAGGTGTCCACTGGGACAGCGGCACACTGCTTTTCAATGTCTTCTCGTGACTTGTCCAATTCCGATTGTTTTCTACGATATACCACATCCTTCAGGGACCCTCACAAGTAGGAGTCGAGGGGTTTAAATCAGGGAAGTGTGAGGGATGTTTAGCATTACCTCATATCCATTGACCGGGTAGTCTTTCATCGAGGTAGCTTCTGATATATCGGTGATAATATGGCAGTGCGCCATTTTGTTGAAATAAAATGGCTCAGTGATTTTTGTGGTGATGGTATGAACAGTCCCAATAGCATAGCAGAAGAGGTGGAACTCACTGTGCAAAGCCTCCCAAATCTTTGCTTGTGCACATCATGCACTGTACCATCGGTATCAAATTTGTCACGAATGAATACAATTTTTTGTTTTATTGGTAGTGGGGTGGGACTAAGTCCCTTGTACTGCGGCCACTTCTGGCTTATTGTACCAGCCCCAGATGATAGGTGAGGGTGATTGTGGAGCAATTTGTGGAATGAAGATTGGCAGGGGAAACCGAAGTACTCGGAGGAAACCTGCCCCAGCGCCACTTTGTCCACCACCAATCCCACTTGACCAGACCCAGGATCGAACCCGGACCGCCGTGGTGGGAAGCCAGCGACTAACCGCTTGAGCTATGGCGCGGCCTAATACAATTGTTAATCGTGTTGGAAGTCCCGTTAGAAATTCACGCCAAGACTGTCTTTTTACTGCGCACACATTCTCAAAATTCCAGTACCACATCAAAATTATATTGCGTTGTTCGAACGACAGCCGTTCCGCCGTCATTTTCTTTTTACTGTCCTGCCATTCCATACGGTGGCTCTGGCGTTCATGTGACCAGCACTATCTTCTGAGAGTGTATCACTTGAACTTTGAAAAGTATCCATAGACAACATCTACGTGGTATTAAAATGTGTGTGAAGAATTCTGGGGAGCCCTTTATATGTAATACTTGTACAGGGCTATAAAGTATTTGTATAAGCAGCTGGAACTCAGTTATTTAACTTACTGGATGACTGGTTCGACTCCCGGCTTGGGCTGTTAGAACTGATTCGACCCAAAACATCAAGGAATTAAACGGAATATATTATCCCGTGGGTTGTTATATTACAAGGTCCGGATTCTGTGCCGACGTGGAGAATTCGTGGATTTTTTACCTCCACATTTCTCTCTCCTTCAGGCGTTCATTTACTTGCAGGAGAATATCTTGGAACTGAACGTCGCAGAGAGGATTAGAACGGTAGCTTGGCAGTCAGACTCACGCCTCAGGGATTCCTATCGAATGTCTAAAAAATTAAGTTATATAGAAATAGCTACACCGCGAACAAGAATTGGAGTGAAGGAACTACTTGTACGTTTGGATATCTCATGGTTATGTTGTTCTTACAGTGGACGCCGTCGACGCCGATCTTTAGAAGTCCTGCTGCAAGAACTGCGCAGCCCATCGGCGCAAGGAGGCCCGGACGCGTACCCTGTGCTAACTGACAACAATGAAAACGAGGAAGATGCGGGAGAATTCATAGCATCGCATCAATCGCTACCGGAGTTTCTTCATAGAGTTCAGGTTAGTATGGAATAGAAAAATCACTTCATGCATTTCGACGTCTCTTGGCAAGTATAGGCTACATGCTTGTATAAAGAAGCACAGCATACTTTCCAATTTAACTATCTGACTAGTTCTCCGGGTGATATTATTATATCCCAACCCAACTCTAGGCCCATTGGGGATTAGAATTTGTGGGAAAGTCTAGAAACAGTTTTTATGAAATTTGTGGCTACGTCGTTTACTTTCGTAATATGACAACCTGAAAATTTAATATTCTGAACGATTTTTCTGTATCTGATACCGTGTAGTGTGGCAGATAGTTGCACCTACCGGGGTACGCGGTAGCATAGTTAGCTGAGGCACTATGCTACAAGCCGGAAAGTCACGGGTTCTTGTCCCGATAAGGTGAACTCTTTTTTTTCAATTTATCTAATCCTTCCAGCCGCACTATGGCCTTGTGGTCGACTCAGCCTCTAACAGAAATCAGTACCAGAAATCATCCTGGGGG